TAACTGATTTCAATTGAAAGCCTGCGTGCGCTAGTACCTCTTGCCACGAGTTCCCAGAATTCTTTGCGGTTTTACCCCTGAGTGACGTCACATTTTCAATCTCTATTGGTGGGATTCAAAACTTGCCTTTTGTAACCGCAAGTATCTTGTGTTATTGTTGGCAGCACGGAGATATGAATGTTTGTTGCCATTAAAATTACTGTCAGCCTGAGCTGAAGGCAGACTTGAGATTCAGTAAAGATGTTTTAATGCCGTAAAACTGAAATGGAAACCCTGCTTTGCTGTAGACAGAATTAAGTGGTGCAGAGGAAGAGCAGGCTCACTCGGTAAATTCCTTTCTGATCCCATAGTATCAGTCGTTTACCACTCACGTGAAAATGGTTCAAGCCCCGTTTCCAAGGTTCCTGTCTTATGGATGATGATTTGTTTATGTCCCGTGGTTGGATACTTCACTGAAATGGGAAATAAATTCGATTTACTCCCTTAATGATGACAGATAAATAATTCCGGGTAATCGCACAGGATGTAAATGGTGGTTTTGCTGTCTGACTATATCTGCTAATAATAGTTTAGTTCCCTTTACAGTTGTATTTGATACTGTGATAAATTGTTAACAGCATTTCCTGCAAAGCTGTAACAGGACCATCTCTTTAGTGGTTTGGGCCATGTCAAAGGCTACCCAAAGCAGGGTCAGACTTCACGCTTCATTTAAAAGAGTGGGGGGGGTAAATCTGTTTTGATTTACTCTGGCTGTCAGGCTTCATATCATGCTTCAGGTATGAGACAATAGCAGAGTTCAAAGAAAGGAGGGTCGTTTTCCCTCCTTTCAGTGCGCGGAACATCCTCTGCTCATAATCAGCTCAGTGCATTATGGCTGAAACTTAAGGCGTGCATGACCTCAGTGCGTTGGCCTCTCAGTAAGCTCGAGACATTCTGCAGTCTCACATTGTAAGGGCTACCCCCCTCCCTTAGCTGGTGGCAGCACGCCCCACATCATTACAGTTTGGGGAAATGGCAGGTTGTGCTGCTGCAGCGACATTCTGCAGATAAGATAAG